ACTCTAGCCTGTGACAGAGAAATGCTCAATATATATTGCAGTAGGCTTTAATACAGTGACATGTCAGTAAATACAGTCAGTTCTCTAAGAAAGAGAAAAGCCTGATTTGTAGTTTTTGCCAATTTCTGCAGTGTAAATACTCCTGGCCATGGCTGCTTTCAAGCTAACATTACTATCTAAGAGACAGTGTCAGCTCTGGGAGTTTGTAGTGTCCAGCTCTAGTTTACCCTCTTAGCTGAGCTAGACTTCTGCCCTGACTCCCAGGGTTCTTACAGGTCCCCTCTATTTGCTTTGCCTTTCTTCAATATTATCCCTTAGCTAGAGCTGGCCCTCATCCTTTCCTCAATTTTGACCCCTGCTACAGCCAGCTGTCTCTCTCCAGTGCAGTAGAAGCAAGATCATTTGTGTCTAGATGTCTCCATTGTGCTGGCCACACTGGGGCACCCTGGATGTACAAGAGCTTGGCTGTCTTTCCCTGGTGCTGAGTATGTTTGGATGGTGTGTAATCAAGGGAGTGTCCTTGTGTGTGTGGGTGTGCCGCTGCCCGGCTCTGTCTGCTGGTGTTCTGTTAGCAAAACTTCCTGATCAGGCTACAGAGAGGTACAGCCTCCACCTTTGTTTAAAGGGGTAGCCAAGCTCATAGGTAAGAGCGGTAGCACCCATGCTTTGCAGACCATGGAGCAAGAACACTTGACTATTAAACTGTAAGGAGAATCTGAATTACTTTGGGAATCTCATTAAAATACAAGTTCTGGCCAGGCGGTGATGGCACACACCTTTAATTCCAGCTCTTGGGAGGCAGAGGTGGGGAGATCTCTAGTTCGAGACCAGCCTGGTCTATAGAGCAAGTTCCAAATCAGCCAGGTCCATACAGAGAAACCTTGTCTCAGAAAAAAACCAAACAGAAAAGAAGAAAGAAGCAGAAGCCGGCGTTGGTGGCACATGCCTTTGATCCCAGCACTCGGGAGGCAGAGGCAGGCGGATCTCTGTGAGTTTGAGACCAGCCTGGTCTACAAGAGCTAGTTCCAGGACAGCCTCCAAAGCCACAGAGAAACCCTGTCTCGGAAAACAAACAAACAGAAAAGAAAAGAAAAGAAGAAAGAAAGGAAGAAAGAGAGAGGGGGCGGAGAGAGAGAGAGAGAGAGAGAGAGAGAGAGAGAGAGAGAGAGAGAGAGAGAGATTCTGATTCAGCAGGTCAGGAATGGACAGAATCTGAATTTCCACAAGCTACTGTGGGGCATAGTGATGTTGAAACTGCTGGACCTGAGGCCACACTTTGAGTAACAAAACTACTGATGAGTTGGAGGCATTTGCATAGAGCTTATTAGGTCCCAGAACCTCACAAATTCAAGCTCAAATATCTCCCACATTAGGAGCAAAAATATAAGTAACCTTGGTTTACAACAAATAATTAATAAATAACCTTGGACCAATAAATCAACTTAGAGAAGCAAGCTGGATCATTGGGTGTAATCACTTGCTGCAGTCAGGCTGTGGTGGTACACTCCTTAAATCCCAGCACTAGGGAGACAGAGGCAAGTGGATCTCCGTGAGTTCGAGGCCAGCTTGGTCTACAAAGCAAGTTCCAGGACAGCCAGGGATACACAGAAAAACCCTGTCTTGAAAAAATTTTAAAAAGTACTTGCCATGCAAACCTGCTGACTGGGGTTGATCCCTGGAACCCATATAAAGGTGGACGAGAGAAGTAACTTCCAGAAGTTGTCCTCTGACAATCACACCTGAACCCCAGATGTGTGTGCCTCCATGTTCAACTTCTTCCCTCTCATAAAATAGTAGAAAAAAATTTTTTTGGTTTTTTGAGACAGGGTTTCTCTGTGTAGCTTTGGAGCCTATCCTGGCACTTGCTCTGGAGACCAGACCAGCCTCGAACTCACAGAGATCCGCCTGCCTCTGCCTCCCGAGTGCTAGGATTAAAGGCGAGCGAAACCAACGCCCGACGAATAGTAGAAATTTTAAATGTGTTTTAAAATGAAAACACATGGACACATAACTTTCCTTTCCTCCCTCCAGGTGCTTGTATCTACCCTTCTCAGCCAAGCTTTACCTGGGTTTATCTGTCTTGGACCCATAGGACAGGTATTTGCTATCTTAAGGGCTTCTTTTAAAAAAAATTGTTTTAGCCGGGCAGTGGTGGTGCACACCTTTAATCCCAGCACTTGGGAGGCAGAAGCAGGCAGATCTCTGTGAGTTTGAGGCCAGCCTGGTCTACAAAGCTACACAGAGAACCCCTGTCTCGGAAAACAAAACAAAACAAAACAAAATTTAAATTTTATTTGTATGAGCGTTTTACCTGCGTGTCTGTGTGTGCCTAGTGCCCATAGAGGTTAGAAGAGGGCTTGGCTCCTCTGGAACTGGAGTTGAAGACGGTTGTGAGTCACTGTGTAGGTGCTGGGAACAGAACTCAGGTCCTCTGCAGGAGCAACAAATGCCCTTAACTGTTGAGCTATCTCTCTAGCCCCTTTGTTCAAGGACTTCTTAAAATCATCTAGTTTCACCCTCTTCTCTTCCTGGGTTGTCATGGAGCCAAAGGAGGGTTCTTGTCAGCCTACTTCCACCTGCCCCGGCCTTTAAGTGTCCTTTCTCCCTTCCCTCCCAGTCTACTTCTTCCCAGACATTGCCATGACAATGACTCTAATGTAGACCTCCAACTCAGGGACTGCCCCCTGTCTCCAGACTGCATATCTGATCGCTTGTTTTGTTTTGACTTCAGTGTGAAACTGCATCCATACTCTACCTGCTCCTGCTGCCAGCCTGCCTTGTATCTGGTGTTCGCTATCTTCCCTTCCATCCCCTAGAGTAAGTCAGAAAAGTTTCCTCCTAAGGCCCACTCAGCAGGTCTGATCAGTTCTGAAATGTCCCCGCTTGTGTCTGAGGTTCACAGTTCACCATCGTCCATAGCTTGGAAAGCTATAGCAGCCCAGCTCGTTTCCCGCTCCCATATTGCTCTCCAGCAATTCACTCTCTCACGCAGCTAGAAGCATCAAAGTGAGGATGCGGTCATGCTCCACCCCACCCTGCAGCTTCCAAACCTTGAAGATTTTCTGTTGCCCTTCACATAAAACCAAGTCTAAAGAAGGGTCCTGCCCAGCTCTTCTCTCCCACACTGCTGTCGTCTCCACATCCTTAGAAAGCTTGGCATCCTCAAAGTTACCGTCCTGCTGGTTTGATTGTGGTTACCTGAGTCCCTACAACAGGCACAGGTCATCATTTCCTAAACCATGGCTAGTGATCCCACTGTGAGGACACCTGACTGAACAGGTTAAGATGAAAATATGGCAACAATAAATTTGCTGAATGTCCAGTGACCAAAAATTACTTCAAAATCAAAATCTGAATAAATCCAGTTGTCTCTGGAAGTGCTAGCCCTTTCACACTTGTGTGGCCTCACAACAGCCTTGGTTCTGGGCACACAGTACACTCCTTTTGCACTGTGCATGCCGATCTACCACGAGCTATCAACAGAAGCTGACAGAAATCCCTCAGTTCAGATTTGAGACTGTTCTGTGTGAGGAATTGAAGTGTTTTTACTGTACATGCAAAACTATGTAACTCTTACATGACTCCTTATAGAAACATGTTGGTTTAATTACAGACTTTTTATTTTTATTTATTTTATGTGGATGGATGTTTTGCCTGCATGTATGTGTGTGCACCACTTTCATGCTTGGTGCCTCTAGAGACCAGAAGAGGGCATCAAATCCCTTGGAACTGGAGTTACAAATGGTTGTGAATGGCTGGGAATTTAACCTTGTTCCTCCAGAAGAGTGCTCTTAACCACTGGGCCATCTCTTCTGCCATGAAGATGTTTGATTTTAAAGACTGCTATTTGAGTTGCTGAGTTGAATTTTATTTTGTAAAACATTAAATGAATTTTGACTTGAAACAGAATTTCCTTCAATTTCTGAAATGGCCCTAGACACACATCTGTCATTTTGTACTATGTACTTATGTGAAACAGCACTCTCAGCTCGGCCATTAGAAAATCAAAATATTAGTCAACCCTCACAGATGTTGGACATGCTTTACATTCTGTAATATCAAATATTCAGCCAATATTCATTTATTTATTTATTGGTTTTCCTGAAGCAGGGTCATGTGTATCCCACACTACCATAACACTTGATATAGAGCCACAGTTAATCTTGAATTCCCCACTCTACCTTCCAAGTGCTGAGAGTAGAGGCATGAGCCACCATACCTGGCTAAGACTTCATTTTTTATGTAAATTTACTATTCAAATCTCTTTTTAGTGTGTGTGAAAAATATATATATATATATATATATATATATATATATATCAAAGAATTGTTTTCAAAATTAAGTTCTATGAGTTTAATGAATAAATATTTATATTCCTATTTTATATAATTATATACCCTGGATTGCATGGAAATTTCTTATGAAAAATAGGGTCACAAGTGAAACAGGGTCTCCAGGGGACAGTTTAAGGATTCCACCGTGGGGCTGCAGAACTGGTTCAGCTGTAAGGGGCCCTGGCTGTTCCTCCAGAGGACCTGGGCTCCCAGCACCCACTTGGCAGCTCACAGCTACCTGTAACGGATCCAAGGGATCCGTCGTCACCCTCCTTGGACACTAGACACACACATGTTATGGAGGCATACACACCAGCAAGCATTCTTACTCAGAAGACAATAGATCAGGACCTGGTACAAAGTGAGCGCCAGAGAACACTGAGCCAGGCCTGTGAAGACTAGCTCTAGATGAGACAAAGAGATTCGGTTAGGTATGCTAACAGAATTGTGATAGTGGTTTTCAGAGTGCGGTGACATCTTAATCTCCAAGAGAGACACATGAAGGGTTTGTAGGTGAAATAGTATGATGTCAGGGATTAGATTAGCATCAAATGGCTGTGGATCGGAGTAAAGTAATGGCATGGATGGTGTTCAGGGAAAGAGCAAAGAATAAGTCTGTTTCATTTCGCTTGTCTGTTCTTGTTGACAGCTACAGAGACTACAAGGATGCTGACTGTTCCGGAAATGGGCCTTCAAGGGCTGTATATCAGTAAGACCCCCACTGCCCCTCCCTGCCTACCACCCCACTTGCCTTGGCATGGAGCCTACTAGCCACTGCCCCCAGTTGCCTCTCTCAGCACAAGTTCCTGAGAACCATTCTGTAAATTCTACACTGTGTGTGTGTGTGTGTGTGTGTGTGTGTGTGTGTGTGTGTGTTGTGCACGCTTGTACATGTGTGTGCAGGGATGGTCTGTATATAGAAAGTATCTGTTCAGAGACCCCTGGGTGTGTGCATGTGCTTGTCTGTGTGTAAAGACTTGCACATGCTTTGTGCAAGTGTGTGAGTGTGCGGGTGGATCCCTGTGCATAGGACCTTGTGGTTTGAGTGGTCTGCAGGTGGGCCTGTGTGCACTGGACTCGGCCCATCTGCTTTCATCTGAGTGCAGGCTTTGTGCTCTCTGCAGGGTGGGAGGCCAGCAGGCAGGAGGGACACTCCTCAGGAAGTCCATTCACAAAGCCCTGGTGGGCCGGGCCCTTCCTTCCTGCCTCCCTTCCCAGGCTCCAGCCACAGCAACTGCCTTTCACATTAGAGCTGAGAGATAGCAGGGCCTAGTCCATACTGGATGCCCAGGGAAGGGGATGTTGACCTGTAGCTGCCCTGACCCTGTTCTTCTGGTACCCGGACACACTGCAACTGTGCCCAGGCACTTCCTACAGACCCTCACACACATTCTGGGTTATCACAGGGCCGCCGTCAAGGATCACTGACAAGCTGAGGGAGTGCAGCCAGCCCTGGCCCAGAGTACAGCAGGTCAGACCTGCTGACATAGGCCTTCATGCCAGATTCCTTACTCCTCCTCTTGTCAGCCTCCCTACCCCCAACCACTGGTCTCAGTGCCACTCCCTCCCATGACCCTTAGCAAACCTTAGTGTGATGGTGACTAGTGACTTCAATGCCTTCCTGTCCCACGGGGGTGTCTAATTCAAGCCATACCTGGGGCCCTCCTGAAAGTTGCTGTTTCCTAGACCCTTAAGTCCAGCTCAGGCTGGGCCCTTCAGGAAGATTTCAGTGTCCCTTCTGCCCCCAGTGTTAACTTGAGTGTATGCATGTGTGCTGGGACAGGTGATCAAAATTCCCAGTGCTGAGGACATCTCCAGACACAGAGTTGGGCTGGGGGTGGATGTTACCTTCTCCTTTGGGTCCTGTCTGTGCCCACTGAGAATGTGAGAACCTCAAGTCCTGATTAGAACCATGTGGCCCAGCCTCTGGGCCTTATGTCTCACAGCACAGCCACTTGCATTTGTAGTCCCCCTCGGGCCCTGCCACAGGAGCCTATCTGCCCATTGCTCCTACCTACCCATCTCTAGACTATCTTTCTACTACAAAATGCTTCTCTGCCTCCTCCTATCCTCCTGTGTGTGCTCAAAGGGGACTTGGGAAACTGTGCCCATGTGATACACACAAGTCACCATCTAGGAGGACAGGTGCATCTGACGGTCCAGGCAGATGCTTAGACCCAACCCTGCGTCATGCATGTCCTTCCTACTCCCTGCTGTCTCCCTTCCCCCACAAATGGCCCTTTGCCTCAGCCAGGCTCTGTGGGAACATGCAGAGCCCTTGTGCAAGGTCTGGGATCCTGCTTCCCAGGTTGTTCTCGGGTGACGTGGCCTCTCTCCTCTACAGGCTCTAGCCCCGAGAGATCCCCAGTGCCCAGCCCACCCGGCTCCCCGAGGACCCAGGAAAGCTGTGGCATCGCCCCCCTCACACCTTCACAGTCTCCAGTAAGCCCTGATTGGGAATTTGGGTGGTAGGGGGGCCTGTGTAGTGTGGAAGGGGGTGGTCCCTGCAGGGCTCTGGCAGAGACACCACCAGGCCTCCTACCCCTGGCACTCTAGTCATGTGTCCCCCGGCCTGGGACTGTAGGTGTACCAATTCTACCGAAACCATAAGCTCCAGGGAACTCACTCCCACTGCTCCCTGTAGCAGGATGACTCCCAGGTGCCACTGTGGCTGACCTGTTAGGCAGGCGTATGACTTTTCTAGGTCCTCAGAGCACTGCTCCTGCCAACCAGAGCCCTGACATACTCTGAGTCCCATCTCATGGAGAAGCATATTGTTTAAAAATATTTAGAGGTCTGGAGAGGTGGCTCAGTGGTTAAGAGCACTGGCTGCTTTTCCAGAGGTCCCGAGTTCAAGTCCCAGCACCCACATGGTGGCTCACAAGTATCTATAGTGTGATATGATGCCCTCTTCTGGCATAAGGGGGTATATGCAGATAGATCGCTCATATACATTAAATAAGTAAATCTTCTTTTAAAGATTTAGAAATTGCACAATTGAAGTTTCTGTCCTCATGGCTTTCCTGGGTTACCTACTCTATATATATGGCTTTGTCCTGGTCATGCAGCTTGGAGTCCCTCTTGTTCTCAGGGAGCCCAGGCCTAGCTTGGCAGAAGTAGGGACAATCCCTCACATGCATTGGGGCCCCTCCTCTCTTCTACAAAACCAGAGTCTGTTCGTGTTACAAAAGCAAGAGGTAGAGTGTGCACATCCATATATTAGAAAACAGACCAGAAAAGCCAAATTGCTCCCAGCTGGGGCAAGGCTAATAGCAGGCTGTGAAAAAGGTGCAAGACAGAGCTGGGCCAAGGGAGTCTGGGCAGCAGTGAGATGAACTTTAAGCTAGACAGCAGTGATTTTAACCCCAAACTGACATGGCTACCTGAGAGGCTTTGGACTATCCAAGCAGGTGGCATGGCCAGGTCTTAGGGGGGGGCAGGGGGGATGGACCAGGAAGGTGGGCCATTGGGACTGGGACAAAGCTGCTTTGGGCCACAGGCAGTGAAGGGGTGGGGGGAGTTCCTCTTGGTTGCTGGCTGACTTTCGGTCTTGGACTTGCAGAAGCCAGAGGCCCGAGCTCCACAGCAGGCCTCCTTCTCTGTGGTTGTAGCCATCGACTTTGGGACTACATCCAGTGGTTATGCCTTCAGCTTTGCTAGTGACCCTGAGGCCATCCACATGATGAGGTGAGGGCGGCTGGACTGGGAAACGGGGCTGGGGAGGCACCTCAAACTCTGGGATGGGCCTGGTCTTAGAAATAATCACGGGGCAGGGCCTTATCAGAGCCCCATGCATCTCTAGGACTCCTCACTGGGACAGAAGGCTAGAGAATGGACTTCAGGTCTGAGTTTTAGCCTTATTTGGAGTCCACATACCCACTACAGGAATGTTGGGCTTCATTTGTTTATTTGCAGCGTTGAACATCAAGCCCAGGGCCACAAGCATACTATACAGGTGCTCTTGGCTTATATCCCCAACCCAGGACTTCATTTGGGGTGTATGCTTTAAATTTTTTAGTGTGTACGTGTGTGTGTGTGTGTGTGTGTGTGTGTGTGTATCTGTGCATGTGTGCATGCATATTAAGGCCAGCGGTCAGCAAGCATCCTCCTCTGGCACTCTCCACCTTCTTTTATTGAGACGGGGCCTCTCACTGGACCCAGAGCTCACTGATTGGCTAGACTAACTGGCCATGGAGCTCTGGAGATCTACTCATCCTTACTCCACACCCTGTCCCCCCAGTGACAGGGTTATAGGTGCCACCATGCCTAGCCTAGGCTCTAAAAATAACAGAAAGGGAGGGAAGGAGGGAGAAAACAAAGGAAAGAATTATAAAAGACCTTGAAGTAATTTGGCCTTGGAAAACAACCTTGAGAAGTACAGTGACTGGGCCAGAGATGGCTTCTGCTATGGTCCCAGGAAAACATATCAGGAGGTCAGACAAATGGAATAATAGCTTGCCATTGCTGATAAATAATACAGAGGAGAAGTCAAATGAGGGCCTACCCAGAGGTCTCTTAGGACCCCTTGGACAGAGAGGATCTCATGGGGAGAGGATCTCATGGGGAGCATTTATAGAGGGATGTATATTGGCACCATTTCGTTTTCATGAAATCCTAAGAGATAAGTACTGTTATTATTCTGGAGGGCAATGTTTGAGAGATGGTCTCACTCTGTAGATCAGGCTGGCAGTCATCCCCCACCTCAGCCTCCTGAATGCTGGGATTAGATTACAGTCACCACTCCCAGTCCCACTATTTTCATTTTACAGATGGGGGGAGGGTGGAAACTCAGGAAGTTGTGTCTCCTGCTCGTGGTCATCGTCACACAACTGGCCCCTGAGCCAGCACCCAACTGTAGCAATGTTGCATCTGGCTCCCCTAACTGCTTTTGTCTTTGCAGGAAATGGGAGGGGGGAGACCCAGGCGTGGCCAACCAGAAGACCCCTACTTGTCTGCTGCTGACCCCAGAGGGTGTCTTTCACAGTTTTGGCTACACCGCTCGTGACTACTACCATGACCTAGACCCTGAGGAGGCTCGGGACTGGCTCTACTTTGAGAAGTTTAAGATGAAGATTCACAGTGCCACTGTGAGACAATGAGGCCAGGCTCCCACCAGGATGGTGGAGCCAAGAAGGGAGCAGGCAGTGTTAGTGGAGAGCAGGATGGAGCTAAAGACCAGAGGAATAGCCTAACTAAGAGCCAAAAGGGGGGACAGTGGGCAGAACAGAAGTGGGCAAGACTGACGGTGGGCTTGGTGTAAACTGATTAGAGGATGGAGTAGCAGGACTAGAGAATGGCTGGGGCACAGCTGATGGGAGACTGCCAGAGGAGGGAGAAGCGGTGGGATATGGGGTGATTGTAAGGAAGAAATGCTCAGGAAATGGGCAGAGCTATGGCCTCCTGCAGAGTGGCCCTGTGTCTCTGCCAGGATCTTACCTTGAAGACCCAGTTGGAGGCCGTAAATGGGAAGCAGATGCTGGCTCTGGAGGTGTTTGCCCATGCTCTCCGCTTCTTCAAGGAGCACGCCCTTCAGGTGTGCTGCTCTTCCCAACCCACTGACTGGGGCAGAGACCCCTCCCCCCATCCCTTCCATTCCCTTCCTCTCCCCTCATCCCACCCTGAGTCCCGATGGTGACAGTCCATCTCCAGTTCCCTGTCCTGTCTGTTAGGACTTGGGCCAGCCAGCTGACAGTCAGACTTTTCACTCCAGCAACAGATCTTCCCAAGCTGGGAAGCCCTCACTGTGACTTGACGAGTCCTTCCAGCTCCCAGAGGGGTCTGGAAATGCTTCAGGCCAGCTGTCACCTCACAGTCCTCCCCTACTGCAGGAGCTGAGAGAGCAGAGCCCGGGTGTGCTCGAGAAAGACACCGTGCGCTGGGTGCTGACAGTGCCTGCCATCTGGAAACAGCCAGCTAAGCAGTTCATGAGAGAGGCTGCCTACCTGGTGAGAATGTACAGGTGGAACTGTGCCCCACCCCAAGATGGCCCTGTGGGTGCGCACCTCATCCACCCTTCAACCCTGAGGACCACAAAAATCATTATGTGAAGATATTCACCCTTGCTGGGATTTTGGGAAGCTGTTGTCCCCAAGAGAGGGGGTGGGTCTGCAAGAGAAAAGGGCAGTTGGACTCAGGCATAGGCCATCATGGATGGTGTCCTGTCAAGTTCCTGAGAAGCAGAGCCCAAGAGAGGGTCTTGTGTATAGAGTCTGTGAAGATAGGCTCTCAGGACAAAGAGGGTGGGACAGGAGAGTGATACAGAAGGATGTGGTCTTGCTGGAGTCTATCTTCAACCCTGTTCTACAGGAAGCCCTAGAGGGAGGATTGTGGCACTGAGGTGGCCACAGTGAGGCAAGGGTCCATAGCTGCCTGCCATTGCTTGCTGGTGGAGTGGAAGGGACACTTGTCCATGTGAGATGGGACAAATGTCTAAAGCAGGAGCAGGCAGGGGCCAGAGACAGCCACTTTGGTCCTCAGCAGTCCTTTTGCATACCTCCACTCCTGCCCCAGGCATTTGTAGGCTCTTCCCAGATGAAAAGGACTATTTAGCTACAAAGGGAGTTGATTCTGGCCAAAGTGTGATGTCTTCCTATCACAGAGAATGTGGGGTTCAGACACTACCCTCTCCACTGGGGACAGAGAGAAGCCTCACAGAGCAAAAACAGACCCTAGGACATCCAAAGGTATCTCAAGCCTGCCTTCTGGAGGAGATACCAATGTGCCTTTACCTGTGGGTCAGATGTAAGGACTGTGGGTGCCTATGCTTGTCCCTAGAGGGAGTTGACTTTGAGCACAGTGATCCACTCTACAGGGATCAGATGTCCCCAGACAGAACAAATATGCCTGCCATTTACCTGCCCTGCTTTCTTCCACGTTGCTCCCTGATGCCAGCTCAGAAAGGGCTGGCCCAGGGCAGGAAGCCTCCATTCATACCTGTCTCCTCTTCCTAACCTCATCAGAATGCAAGGAATCATATGAACTCTAAACTCCCCAGAGAGAGCCTTTGTCCTGCTGCAGGAAATGACAGATTTTGAGTGTTTCTCTCTTACCCTCACTGGCCTGTCGTGGTGCCTGGAATTTCACTATTTCCTTCCTGCTATAGCAGATTCTCTGGGAACAAACTTCTCCAGGGAGTAGGGTAACCTATGGCCAATCTCTGACACGAGACTGGAGCTGGGCAGTGCCCACCATCCCCTGAAGTCCACTGCTCCCACCCACACTGTCCCAGAATTCACAGCCAGCACTTAAGTTAGTCAGCTCTGCACCTGGGCATGGGAAACCTGCTGCATCCATGCCATTTTTTTTTTCCTCCTGCTCGGTAAGCCTCTGGCTCCTTGGCGGGAGCTTTCACTAGCCTGACCTCACAGTGGCTGTGAGGCAGCTTCAACTGTGTATAGCATGAAGGGGCCTGACAGGCCTAGTATGGATGGTGTGTGGTGGAAGAAGAGGTGGGAACACCCAGAGTACCATCTTACATGAGTCTCTGCTGCTGGCCACCACCTATCCCCAGGCTGGTCTGGTGTCTCGAGAGGATGCAGAAAAACTCCTCATTGCCCTAGAGCCTGAGGCGGCCTCTGTCTACTGTCGAAAGCTTCGCCTGCACCAGCTCATGGACCTGAGTAGCCGGACCGTAGGTGGTGGGCGCCTGGGTGAGCGCAGGTCCATTGATTCCAGCTTTCGCCATGGTGAGCTGTTCCAGGGTTGCTGCCTAGTGCTAGGTTAGATGGCAAGTGCCCTTGAAAGGTTGCAAGGTTTTCTAGGATGGAAAAGGGGAGTCAGCACCCTAAGGGAACTCAAGATCCCTGGTGGAGTTCAGTGTGAGGGGGACACAGCCAGGAATCCAGATTGGTGACAATCTTACCTTGACCGGGGAAGCTGAGTCTGAGGGTCAGGGAGACAGACTGCCTTGGGGCAGGTCCTTAATGGACACTAACAAGGGAGCAAGCTGGGCCCCAGCCTCCTCTTCAGAAGCTTTTCCTTAAACAGCCATTCTATCAGCTGTTACCCCACATAAGCCCTGCCCAGCCCTGCCCCTCAGCAGCCAAAGCTCTTGCAGCCTGACCTAGGCACTGAGGCCAACAACAATTGTAGTCCACTTTGGTCATCCTCCTAAATGTGATCTCCCTGGAAGGAGGAGGCCCCAAGTCCTGAGCTTCCCTGGGACACTTGGTGATACCTCCCCCCAGATCCTTCAAGGCCTCTCGGGGCCTGTGTCAGGGCCTGCTTGTTGACCCAGAGGGTCAACAAGTCCTGTATCCAGAAGTGTTTTAGCTGCTTCTAGTGCCTAAGATTGGGGTCAGTGTTGTTGAAGTGACTGGGACAGCCTTGGTAAGGAGAAGGGTTGAGAGTGGTAGCCCCTAACCTCACTGTCCTGCTGTGCCCAACCCCAGCCCGGGAGCAGCTGCGGAGGTCTCGCCACAGCCGAACGTTCCTGGTGGAGTCTGGTGTGGGAGAACTGTGGGCAGAGATGCAGGAAGGTGAGACAGCAGGGCATGAAGAAACACCTCAGATCATGCAGACAAGCTGCAGGAAGTGGGGAAGGGCCCCTCCGTGGAGCCTACATCTTCCCTCAGTCACCTATGCCCCATCGGCTTGTAGCTACGCCCGTACCTAACTCATTACTCCAGGGGATCCTGTTCCATGTTCAAGCCTCAAATCATCCCCCCTTCCACACTCGTCGTCCTTATTTGGTCGCCTGAGATGAAGCCCTTCCCTTCCCTGCCCCCTCCATACTGTCCCCCAAGGCTGGGCTTGGTGCCTGGAGCAGGGTTGGAGGCTTGGGGGTGGGAGGTACAAGACTGAAGGTGAGAGACGGGCCTTTAATGTTACCTGTATCGGCCGGTGCAGGAGACCGCTACATGGTGGCAGACTGTGGGGGTGGCACTGTGGACCTGACCGTACACCAGCTGGAGCAACCTCATGGCACCCTCAAGGAGCTCTACAAGGCTTCTGGCGAGTAGACCAACCAGTACCCTTGCCACCCAGCTCGCACAGAGCCTTCTGTCGTCCCCTGCTGGCCTATCTGGCAATGACACCCTCTCTGTCTCCCACCTGCTGCAGGCGGCCCTTATGGTGCGGTGGGGGTGGACCTGGCCTTTGAGCAGCTGCTCTGCCGCATATTCGGAGAGGACTTCATTGCCAAATTCAAAAGGCAACGGCCAGCAGCTTGGGTAGATCTAACCATTGCCTTCGAGGCCCGCAAGCGCACTGCAGGCCCGCACCGAGCAGGAGCACTCAACATTTCCCTTCCCTTCTCTTTCATTGATTTCTACCGCAAACAACGAGGCCACAACGTGGAGACAGCCCTGCGCAGGAGCAGGTGTGCCCAGGGTCAGGGCTCAGGCAGCATGTGCTAATGTGGCCTGTCCTTGCAAGGGAGAGTCGTGGGCTCCAGGGCCTAGAGACAGAGGCCTGGTCAGTTCCACACACATACAGCATGCCAGCTGCAGCAGTGAGTGACAGGTGGTGAGGTGTGAGTACTGGGTGGTGGGGCAGGTCCACAGCAGTCAGGAACTGGCAGTCCAAAGTAGATGTTAAGAATGAGCGTCATGCCGTGCGGTGGTGGCACACGCCTTTAATCCCAGCACTCGGGAGGCAGAGGCAGGTGGATCTCTGTGAGTTCGAGACCAACCTGGTCTACAAGAGATAGTTCCAGCACAGCCTCCAAAGCCACAGAGAACCCCTGTTTCGAAAAACCAAAAAAAAAAAAAAAAAAAAAAGAGCGAGCGTCATAAGGGACAGAGGTTGCAAGTTTTATCTTCTCCCTGCCCTACCCCGTTAATCGATGCTCTTAGCTCTGCTACACTGATATAAAGGTAAGCTGTTTGTGACTTCCTGAATGAGCAGGGCAGACAGCAGAGTCAGGCTGGGGATAAGCGCAGGTGGCCACCCTTTATACACAATGGGAGGACCCCTGACTAGAAGTTGCAGAAAACAACTGCACTGACCCACGGACTTGTGTGTCCCCTTCACCTCCTACAGTGTGAACTTCGTGAAGTGGTCCTCACAGGGGATGCTCCGGATGTCCTGTGAGGCTATGAATGAACTGTTTCAGCCCACGGTCAGTGGGATCATCCAACACATAGGTGAGTGCCCCATGCCCCATTCAGACTCAGACTCGGGTTCAGAAACAATTCCTCTCTCTCATCCATGCCTGTAAGTCACCATACATCCTTACCTTGGGATGAAACCTAGAATTGTCTGTAATACCTGGAGCAAACAACACATGGCGATTAAGGAATTGTTTACAGCCCTGCTAGGTTAAGGACGGCCCAGCGACTCTGTTTGCCCATTTTGTAAAGGGGACTAAATGAGCTGATAGTGTATAGAGTGGGCACGCTGCCCTGAACAGGAGAAATGCATTCCTGATCCTTTACCCTTCACAGGATGGTAGCAAAGGTAGAGGGTTTGGGTCTGGCAGGATCAGTGAGCAGTGTGAGGAGCCTTTCCGTGAAAGAGCTGTTTTCTATGGGATGCCTGGATTTTAGATGCTTTTAGAGTACTCATGGGGCTGGACATGGTAGCACACGCCTTTAATCCCAGCACCCGGGAGGCAGAGGCAGGTGGGTCTTTGTGATTTCGAGGACAGCCTGGTCTACAGGTGAGTTCCAGGACAGACTCCAAAGCTACACAGAGAAAACCGGTCTCGAAAAACCAAATCCCCCCCAAAAGAGTACTGGTGGGGCAGCAGAAGAGCCATTTACCATGAAATGGTGACCCTTAGTGACTCTGTCCCCCTTCTCTCTCTTCTCGAACCCCGCCCTAAACCTGTCCTTCCCTGCAGAGATGTTGCTGGCTAGGCCAGAGGTACAGGGCGTGAAGTTGCTATTCCTGGTGGGCGGCTTTGCAGAGTCAGCTGTGCTGCAGCATGCGGTGCAGACAGCGCTGGGCACACGTGGCCTGCGCGTTGTGGTCCCGCACGACGTGGGTCTCACCATCCTCAAGGGAGCAGTGCTCTTTGGCCAGGCACCCGGTGTGGTGCGGGTGCGCCGCTCCCCTCTCACTTATGGCGTAGGCGTGCTCAACCGTTTTGTGCCTGGCCACCACCCACCTGAGAAATTGCTGGTTCGGGATGGGCGCCGCTGGTGCACTGATGTCTTTGAGCGCTTCGTAGCAGCAGAGCAGTCGGTGGCCCTGGGAGAGGAGGTGCGGCGCAGCTACTGCCCTGCGCGCCCGGGCCAGAGGCGCGTGCTCATCAATCTGTACTGCTGCGCTGCGGAGGACGCACGCTTCATCACTGACCCTGGTGTGCGTAAGTGTGGTGCACTCAGCCTGGAGCTTGAGCCGGAAGACACAGGCACGTCCCCCAACCGCCGTGAGATCCGCGCTGCCATGCAGTTTGGTGATACCGAGATTAAGGTCACTGCTGTGGATGTCAGCACCAATCGCTCCGTGCGAGCGGCCATTGACTTTCTTTCCAACTGAGGGTGCCCCTTTCGGTGGGGACACAAGAACATGCTAGTTTTCACAGCAGTGCCCCTTCCTCCCTACCCTGAGAGAAATGTGGTAAGGACACATGGAGACTCGCTTTGAGATTGAGCCTTGGTCTGCTGACTGGAACACTATGAAGTCCCCTTGCTCCAACAGAAAACCCCAAGAGGCCAGGTGGAATAAAGAGACTTCTAAGGGATTTGTTAGAGGATGTGCCGCCTTGACAGGTGTGTGACCATGAAAACAGACTGCAACAGAGGACTAAACACTGGTCTGAACTTGAGGATTGAGAGGAAGGTTAAGGAAAACCGCTGAGGAGCCAGGCGAGGTGCATAACTGGGCCTGAGGGT